TGCTGCAGAATATGAGGCCCTCATATATGGATTAAAGCTGGCGGCCGAGCTGAAGGTACAAAGCATTCAGGTCTTCAGCGACTCGCAGCTCGTCGTCCACCAGGTGAATGGCAGTTGCGACATCAGGGACCCCCAGCTCGGTCGTTATGCCTCTGTGGTCAACAGATTAAAGTCAAGGTTCGCTTCATTTCAGATCGACAAAATACCGCGGGCAGATAACCACCGAGCTGATGAGCTGTCAAAGTTGGCCTCCTCGCAGGATGCTAACCCTCAGAGATCGACAATTGTCGAGATACTCGACGCCCCGAGCTATACCGATTCCACAGTCGAATGTCAGCTACTGAGCACAGACCCCTCTGCACCGAGCTGGACCACCCCGCTCATAAATTATCTGTAGAGTGGTGAGCTACCTGAAGACCAGACCACCGCGAAGTTGGTTAAACGCAGGGCGGCACATTTCACTTTGTTAGATGACCAGCTCTACAAGCGAGCAGCCTCAATGCCCCTATTGCGCTGCCTTACTCCTTACGAAGCTGAATATGCCGTGAGAGAAGTCCACGAGGGAGTTTGTGGCACGCACATTGGTGGCAGAACTTTAGCCCGGAAGCTCCTAAGGCATGGTTATTACTGGCCCACTATGGTCGAAGACGCACAGAACTATGTTAAAAAGTGCCCGACCTGCCAGTTCAATGCTGATGATATTCACATGCCAGGTATCCGAGCTCGTTCTACAGCTTATACTAACCTGGTGACTGTTTATGAACTGAGCATAAATACTTTCTTTAAAACAGGGGAAATGCTATCATCTCTTACGTCTCCCTGGCCTTTCGCTCAATGGGGTATCGACCTGCTCGGTCCTTTTGTCAAAGGCAAAGGAGGCTGCACTTTCCTAGTCGTTGCAGTGGATTACTTCACTAAATGGATAGAAGCTAAACCATTGTCCACGACAACAGAAAGGAAAATAGAAGAATTCTTGTTCAATTCCATATTGTGCAGGTATTCTTTAGTGATCGAGGCCATAAATAAGAGATACACAAAAATGGGGTGTAACTCAGCTCGCTCATCTATGTGCAGGTTCGGCATACCTAAGCGAATTATAGCCGACAATGGGCCACAATTCCGGGCAGCAGCACTGAGATCGTTCTGTAATGATTATGGCATCGAACTCGCCTTGACGTCTGTGTATACTCCACAGTCCAACGGGCAAGCCGAGTCCGCCAATAAAATCGTTTTGCGAGGCCTCAAGACACGCGTTTTGGCTGCGAATTCTAACTGGGTTGACGAGCTCAACAAAGTGCTTTGGTCTTGTCGTACCACACCCAGCTCGGCCACGGGGGAAACCCCTTTCAGCCTAGCCCATGGAGCTGAAGCCGTCATCCCAGTGGAGGTTGGATTGTCGTCCGATAGATCAGATCGCCATGACGACCAGAATAATGAACAACTCTTAAGAGAGAACCTAGACTTTGTGCAAGAAATCAGGGAGATGTCCCGAATAAGAAATATGGCGCATCAAAGCCGCGTTGCAAAGTTTTACAATAAACGAGTTCGAGCTCGTCAATTTCAGGTTGGCGATCTGGTTCTACGCAAGGCTGGATTAACCAACAGTTATTCACACATGGGCAAGCTCGCTCCTAATTGGGAGGGCCCGTATATGGTTATTCGAGTTAAGCGGCCTGGCTCTTACATGTTAGCAGATACACAAGGGCGTCAGTTACCTTACCTTTGGAACATACAGAATCTTAGAAAGTTTTACAGTTAAGGTGTGTAATCTTATTTCGCTTAAGGTGTTACTCAACAGCTGTAAACAAAGATGTACAGAAATTGCAACAAAGATTCAAATATAAATTCATTCTTGTATTTCATCAAAGATGTTACAGAAGTATATGCGATCTGAATCCAGTGATCAAATACAAAAATGCTAAAACAAAAGTACAAAAGAATGAAACAAAAAATCCTAAACCTAGTCATCCGTCAGATCGACGGGCATGGATGCGTCGGTCGCAGCCGCAGAAGAGCGAGCAGGAGAAGACCGGGAAACGGGCTCAGAGGCTGGCGCGTTGACGGGCGAGCTGGATGACACAACTACGGGCTGAGAGTTGGGTGGGGTGCTTGAAGGCTCCTGCTCAGCTACAGGAGCGCCCTCTACCCATGCATCAAAGGAGGCCAGCCCTGTTGGGTCCTCCCCGTCCTCCAGAACGGACGGCGGCCAGACGGGCACGCCCTCCTCGTTCAAGTCCCACCTCAGCCTCACAGTTGTGTCAGCGAGGGGAGCAAGGCTCTTACCCTGCTCGTCGAGCTCCTCCTCGTCAAAGAAGACCAGCTCGCGGATTGGAAAATCTGGGCGGTGGTGCAGAACCTTCCCACGAATCTCATTGTAGATATCCGTGGTTACGTTCGCAGACGCCACCGCCACTGCCTCTTGGAATATGGCTGAACCAACCAGCCACTCTGCACCTTGAGCCCGTGCCATCGCGACAGAGCGCCCGTGCGTGGCTTTCAGCTCATTCAAGGCCCCTTCAGCTGCGTTAAG